TCTGTCTGTCTGTCTGTCTGTCTGTCTGTCTGTCTGTCTGTCTGTCTGTCTGTCTTTCTTTCTTTCTTTCTCCCTTTTTTCCTTTATTTGTTTGTGCTTCCTCACTTGCCTAAGAAGACCACCCATTGTTGAGAGACAAACAAATAAAGCTTTTGTCATAGGCAGATAGACTTTTTTACACTTTAAAAAAATTATAGCATGAACCAAAACATTGACATATGGTTCAGAGATATGGAAAACAAACAAAACAATTCAACGACAATTTAAAAACTTCCAAACAAATTTTTCACGAAGATTTTGCTAATGAAATGGAATGAATTTATTGCAAATAATGAAGTGTCGGAAAGAGCTGGAATTGAAGACCTCGACACAACCTTACAAAGGAGAAGATGGAGATATCTAGGACATGTTCTAAGAATGCCGAAGACAAGATTGCCCTATCAGATGTGGTATTGGAGACCAACTGGAAAGAGACAACGAGGAAGACCAACTGGAAAAAGACAACGAGGAAGACCAACTGGAAACTATTGAGGCACAATAAGGGATGAGGCAATCACCCAGGGCTTGGAAGTGCCGAAATTGGAGGACGTGGCCAGGGACAGACAAGCGTGGCGTCGAAAGCTCTCCGCCTTACGTAGCTGACGGTTTAGGGAGAGAGTAAGAAAGTGAGAAAAAAAAAACATAGATAAGAAAGAAACGTAAAAAGGGTTGGGATTTTTTTTTTCTTTTCTTTTCCTTTTTCTTTTTTGGAGGAAGGGTGGGGTAGGGGGTGGCTGTCTGTCTGTCTGTTCGGGTGATTGTCTTATACAGGTGGACACCGTTAAAGTAGGTCTGACTGTTCTCGTGGTAACATGCCGCGTCGTTGTTGTTTCAGCGTCATTTCATCGTCGTTTCATCGTCGTTTCATCATTGGTTTTTTTGTCGTTTCATCCTCGGTTAATCGTCGTTTCATTGTCGTTTCATCGTCGGTTCATCATCATTTCATCATCGTTATTTGTCACTTCATCATCGTTTCATCATCGTCATCATTTCATCGTCGTCGTCGTTTCATTGTTGTTTAATCGTCGTTTCAGGAGACGTTTCTGAAACACTTCAACTTGTTTATTGTGGAGAACGAGGCCAGCGGATCGTCTTATATCAGGACAGTTTCTGACTTCAATAGAGGTGAGCTCTTCTTTCTCCATGTTCTTGTATCCTGTTGAATGGATGAAACCTTTTTTCAGGTTTTGTCTTGTTGTTTTCTCGTGTTTTTTTTGTAATGTTTTCATGTTTGTTTTTCTCTCTAGGTTTTGGCGCTGGGTTTGTTTTGTGGTGTTTTTGTAACTCTTTCGTGTTTTTGAGGTTTTGTGTAGTTTAAAAAAAAAGGTTTTGATGTTTTCATGATTTTATAGGTGAGATGTTTCTCTCTGCTTTTGTAATGTTTTCATGATTTTGAGGGTTTAGTTTAATTAAAAATAAATTTTTTAAAAAAAATTGTTTTCATGTTTTTGAGGTGAAGTGTTGTTTTTTGTAGTTTTTGTGATGTGTTCAATTTTTTGGTGAAGTTTTGGTGTAGTGTGTTTTTTTGTGTTGTAATGTTTTCATGATCTTTTAGGTTTTGATGGGTTTCTAAAAAAAAATGTTTGTAACTTTTTCAAGTATTTGAGGTTCCATCCCACCCTACCTCGTCCCATTTTATTTCATCCCATCCCATTTCATCCTTTTTCATCCCATACAATCCCATCCCATGCCAACTATATTTTATTTCATCTCATCTCATCCTGCTTCATCCCATCCCATCCCATTTTATTTAATCCCTTCCCATCCTTATTCATCCCATCCAATCCCATCCAATCCCATCCCATCCCAACTACATGTTACTTCATCCCATCCTTTCCCTTCCCATCCCCATTTTACTTCATCCTGTCCCATCCTACTTCATCCCATCCCAACTCTATTTTATTTCATCCCATCCCATCCTACTTCATCCCATCCCATCCCCATTTTACTTCATCCCATCCCGTCCCATCTCATCTCAGCCCATCTCACCTCACCTCATCTCACCACCAGGCGTCATGTACTCGCTGGACCTCAAGAGCGGCATCTGCCAATCGACCGCCATCTCGGCGTCCAACGTGGGCGCCTACTCTATCGGCGGCGGGATGGTGCAGATGAGGACGTCCAAACAGTTCTTTGACTTGGACAGCGATTCTTACCAGTATGTGGGCAAAGTGAGTAGGAGAATGATAGTATCATTTTTAGTCTTGTGTATGGGCAAAGGTGAACCCACCCCCCGGGGCAGTGCCACGGACTGTAGTGTCTTTAGACCCCCCGGGGCAGTGCCACTGACTGTAGTGTCTTTAGACCCCCCGGGGCAGTGCCAC